TTTTTTTTTTGATATTTCAATAATAACGTTGCGAAAACATTTTTTTCATAATGTTATATTAAAAAAAACGTTTTGCAATATTTTTTTTTCAATATTTTAATAAAAAACGTTGCAAAAACGTTTTTTTTTCATAATATTATATTAAAAAAAAAAAGTTTTGTACCATTTTTTTCAATACTTTAATAAAATAGTCCTGAAATTTTTCAGGTTTCAGGTCAGGTCAGGTCAAACAGACAACCTGATATAACCTGTCCTGACCTGACCTATAGCTGTTTCAATCTGAGTCGAGCTGAGCTACAATTAAATTGGCTCATTGGATCACAAGCCAGCTTGAAAAGAGCTCAAGCCGGTAATGGGCTCGACTCAAAAAGCTCAAACCAGTAGTAGGCTTGGCTCAAAAAGCTCGAGCTGGCTTGAGTTATCATACAAAAAACGTTGTGAAAACATTTTTTGTATAATATTATATTAAAAAAGAATGATTCGCAACATTTTGCAACATTTTTTGTTAATTCTTTAGTAAAAAAATGTTGTGAAAATATTTTTTTTCACTATATTATATTAGAAAAAAATGTTTCGCAACGTTTATTTCAATGCTTTAATAAAAAATGTTGCGAAACATTTTTCTGAAGATAAAGCTCGAACTTCAAGCCAGCTCATGCAGAGCTTTATATTTACTTAAAAAAATATTAATTGGTGATACAAGATCATCATGATAAGAAGTTAACTGGAGTTAACTGGTAGCTTTACGTCAAAGTTTAAATTTCTGAAATATGAATGTTTTTAAGTTTAACCCAAAGATTTGTTTAATAACAAAAAGATACATATTCGGTCACAGTGGTAATACATTAATTTTCACACATTTATTCTCGTCTCATTCAAGAAAATGCCAAATACTTTTTACAATGACAATCGCAAAATAAGGCTGTAAAATGACAGTTCTCATCGATAATATAGTTCAGATTTTATATAATATAAAATTTTTAAACTATAAAATAAATGAGCAGGCAGAGTTATATATACTGTACTTTAAATCAAACTTCTCAAATCTTCATGTAGTAGTCTGCCAGTTTAAAGACCCAAATAATATCGATATATCAGTATCCGGATTTTGTAGAGTTACTTTAAAAATGGACAAATCGGGTTAATATAGCAAATTTATATATCAATATTTATGATGGAGAAGTATGGAAAACATTTCCATCTTCCTTAGATAATCCAGATACTCAATTTTTTACAAATGAGACAGCCGATTCTAATCTTGGGATCATGATTAATTTAGACTGGTTCCAACCATTTAATTCGTCAACTTACAGTTCTGGTGTTATCTATGGAGTCACATGTAATCTTTCCTGTGATATTAGATTTAAACGAAAAAACATACTATATCTTGGACTTCTACTAGGAATGGAAGAAGTAAAATTACACAAGATAAATCATTATCTTAGTCCAATTGTTGACAAATTGTTAGAATTTTGGAATAGTGTTGATTTACCTTCTACCGATTTGCATTCAACTGGTAAAAAAATCTGGATGGCGGTAATTTGCTGCAGCAATGACATATTGACTGCTAGAAAATTATGCAATCATATTTCAGCATTAGTTGGCTGCCATTGATACTATAAAATAGCTAACATCAGCAGAAGAAAGCTTAATTACAGAGGGTTTGATGACATGATCGAGTAGTTTGTACAAAAAAATCTAAATGAATATCGATGCAATGCTAAACGTTAGCGGTTGTGTAAATCTAAGTACAAAAGAAAAAATATGTTTTTGAAACTCACGTACGTTGGTCAGAGTTGTTAAGATTGCTGTATTTCAACCCGATTAGATTTCTTGTGGTTGATCTAATGCATAATTTATTTTTGGAAATCGTGCATTAAATCGTGAAAAGGTAGTGGATAGATGGCGGGAAAATAACAAAAACCCATCTTAAATTGATGGAAAAAAAAGCAAAAAAGATCCAAATTCTGGTTGATTTAGAAAGGATACCTTCTAAAATAGCAATCGGAAAAGGATTTTCTGGATGGTGGATATATAGCTGATCAATAGAAGTCGTTTATTATGATTTATGCAATACCGATTATGTGGGATCTTTTGGACGAGGCTGATCAAAAAATTTTAGCAAATTTTGTAAGAGCCTGTACTTTGCTTGTTTATCGAATTGTTAACAAAAGCGCACTGCTTGAAGCTCATTACCAACTGCATCAAGTAGTTCATTTAATTAAGAAAAATTACGGACAGGAGAAAATAACTTCAAATATCCATTTATTTTTCCACATTGTTGAATGTTGCCAAGATTATGGACCGCTTTATTTGTTCTGGTGTTATTCGTTTGAACGAATGAATGGCGTATTAGGTAAAATATGTTGATTGTTAAAAATCAAAATTTCTAATTGGCAAATTGGTAACAGATAAACTTATTGTTTAAATAGGTTCCCTTCCTAATAGTAAACGTACTATTGAATTAGAATTGTTGCGAATTATTGTGTAAAATTCGTGGTTAGACAGCTTAATATCCACTAATTAGATAATGCAAAATTGATGAATGCATTACCTTTAGTTCAATTTCGATTAACAACTGGAAGTTTGGCAGCTTATGATGGGTTTGATTTTAATGAACTTTACCATTTTATGTAAAATTTTCATCAAAATATCGATAACACAATTACTACTGGTAGCGAAAAATTTCTGAAAGAGATGCTTACTCCAAGAAATCGGGTATCATTACCAAATGCCACATATAACTATTGGTGAAATATTATAATGATATATACAATTGGAATTTTACATCAATTGCTGATTTAGCTTCGAGTAATTTATCATCAAGAGATTCCAATTAATCAATTGTTGTATTACCAATCGTAATCCAATTTGGTCGTATTCAGATTGCTGCCAAAATTTTTGGGTCAAAAAGTACACCTTGATATCAAAGAAGTTCATATATTCTAGCCAAATTTATACAGGATGATGAGTCCATAGACATTTACCCTGGTCATGTTCAGTATTATTTTGAGCATATAGTTCAGCTGCCAATCGGTCCTAAGACGCATTGGCTCGTTTTTGTCAACTGGTATTTATGGGCACCAAATGAAAAAACAAGATTTCATTGCAGAATCGGCAATTGGGATGATAAAAGTTGCAACGTTGAATTGTGGAAATATGATTTCCACGAATTATCTAGAGATGCCATCATGCCGATTCATAACATATACAGTTGATTCTTACCTAGAAAATTTACAGTTGGCACATAAAATCCAACTACTTATATGGCAGTCATACCAATTAATAGACAATTTCATTTGTAATAAAACAGAGTCCATTTATGTTTAAAATAAGTTATCTGATAAATAAATTTATAATTTACTAATAATCGGATTACAATTTGTTTTAAATTTATAAATTACTAATAATCGGTCACTATTTGTTTTAAAGAAAGCAATCGGTAAATTTAAACTAAAAGATAGTTATCAATCGGGTATTAATCTGATTAATATTTGATTGAAGTGTATACCAATTTCTAACTATTGAATAAATTAGGTGACTGATCAAAAAAAAAGTTACCAATTAGGTAGGTACCTGATTGGTCAGCGTTTTACCTGTGGAATATCCCATTTTCTTTGTTTATTAAGTTATACAACCTTTTTAGATGTGTGAGTGTGAAAATGTGAACATTTATAAGTACGTCTTTTAATCTGTGCAGCTTTTTTTTCATCTGTAAAATTGTTCATTTCTGTTTGACTCATATAATATTCAAGCCTTGTTTTTTTGTAAGAAAACCCTTCTTGAAAAGCGTAAATATTAAGGTGGATTTCTAATTCTTCCCACAACTGAAATTGCATACCAGAACATAGTGTAATTTCTACATTAGTATCATGATATTCAATACTTTTGTCACTATATAATATAGGATCATTTTTATCACTTTCAACCATAGGATTATCTTCAGGGTTTTCGTATTCCATTTTATAATATAGGGAAAGAAAAGAAAAGAAACTAAAAAAGGGAAATGTGGAAATTAGTATAAATAGTAGTCTAATTTTAATTAACTATTAAATGATGTCATATTATATTAATCATGTGATTTGAGTTAAGTGATATCACTTACGGTTATACTTAGTTAATTTCTTAATAATATAGAATAAAAAAATTATATAATAAATAAAAAAATAATTGTGATGTTGAACACCAGTGGTGTGATTTATAATTTTTGTAAATTATTACCACAAATGGCATTTTTTTAATTTTATTTTTTTTTAATAAACTAGAGTTTTTATTTTATATATATATATTATTACTTATTAGTGCTGAATATATCACAGAAACCTGTAAAATTTTCAAAAGCAATTTTTTCAAAAAAAAAAATCATGGAGAGGCGTAAAATGAACACGTGATTATCTTAATTCCAGTCAGAATCGACGAAGTTTTAATTCTGGCCAAAATCGAAATTTTTGGTCAGAAAGAAATTTTCACTTTAAAATTTTACGGGTCTTTGATATATCATAACAATTCCACCTATAATTACTATTGCTAATTTTAGTATCAATTTATATCAAGTTCAGCAGGAAGTGTTAGAAACACTGAGTATTGTTATAGACTTGTAGTAATATACTAATATATGAAAATTTTTTAGATAAGTATAAACTTGCAATATGATTATATGATTAATATGATTTTAAAAATCTATTTGTCACAAATTATACGTCACGCGTTGGGTTTAAAGTTAGAATTTAGGTTATTATTTTTAAGAAAAATTCATCGATGATGGTTGTGACATAAATATTTATATTTAGTATTTATAATTAGTATTTTTATTTTTTTCTGGCAACTGAAGTTTGATGTTACAAAAGAAACATTTAAAATTCCATTTTAGAGAAATTTTGTCTCTGATTTGCTAAAAGCATATTTATTAAATTAGATTTTACGTGGGTTGAATTAACCCATGGTAATTCGGCAATATAATTATGGCAAAATTGCCGAATCGCCGTAAGGCCGGTAAAGGTGTACTTCACTATATCAATTCGGCAATTTGACATTGCGACGGTTCGGTAATGTTTCGGCACTGCCTACCCCTGCTTTGCTGCGTCTTATGTATTGTGTAACGAATGCATCATAACTAAGAATGCTATTTTAAAATTTAATTAATTAACAAAGAAAATCGTGCATATTTAATGTTCTTTATGGAAAGAATAAAGATTATAATGGAAATTTATTCTATTCTTTATTTAGACCAATGGAGCTATAAAATACTAATATTAATTTTGTTGTCACACGCACACATCGTATGAACAAAAAAAAAAGTTAGTAGTTTCTTTAGGTAAAAAAATGTGACTCAATATCGGGGTTAAATCATACATGTATTTCATTTATTCATTATGAAAATGATGTTAAACATAATGAAAGATTTAATAACCAATAATAAACTAGTATTACCATAAATGTGTTGGTAATTCCCAGAATTCATTATTCCAAATTAATCGATTTGGAGAATTACTATCTAAATTAGGATATTTAATATAAATTTATCATACATTGTTTTTCCAAAAATAATTGACAACAAAAAATTTAATAATTCGATAACCGTATACGAAAGATATCCAAATATGGAACATTGATCGTTCAAATTTTCAACTAATATTAAATGCATTAAATATAATTTTATTAATCAATAAGTTACCAAAACATTGTTTATTTGTCTATGTAGTCTCTATGTATCAAATAATCTTTTAATATGTTATTAAATTTTAGTGGAGACTGCAGAAAAATTTTATATTTATTTTTAATTTTATATCGAAATACCGTACTTCTATTATTTCACGATTCTGGTAGTGTTATGTAGAAATAATTTTTTTTAATTCTTGGCTAATTTCTAAAAACAATTAATTACATTAATTACATCATCATTTGATAGAACAATCAATTTGTCGACTATATTATTAATATTTTGTCATTAATTAATTATATTTTCTTGTAACAATTTTTTCTCAATTGCATACTACGAGAATCTCTCGATGTTTGAATTACGACCTGAATTTTATCAATCAATAATTAACAATTAATCTATGCCAAACTTAATCTCTCTATAGACTATAATCAAGTAACTTGTTCCAAATTTATGAAGGTAAAACTTTCTACAAAACTTGAAAAATGAAAGACTATATAATCTTAGGAATCACATGATATTTACGTTAAAACTTACGATGTGATTATTATCTATTACTTTGCATTACGCGATATCCTAGTTTTCAAATACCTTATTTTTATAAGATTCAGAAATATGAAGTTCTTTTTTATTTTCAATGATTTAAATTTTGATATTTAAATATTAGCTTGGAAGAATTTATACATAATAATAATACCTTAATAAAGATCGTTCCATGCTGTATATATACAATATACATTATATGCTTATTAAAAAAAAAAAGTTATTCACAGTGAAATTCGATATAATGGAACCATCTGTTCCATTAGTAAAATTTGTCAAAAATCTGTTATATCAAGAATTCCGAATTCCGTTATTATCGAGGGTAAATTAATTATACGCTATGATAATCCCAATTCCGATATAAAGTATCAAGATTTTGCTCATGATCCGTTATATCGAGGTTCCGGTATATCGAATTTCACTGTATATGCTGTTATAAGCAATAAATATATGTTAAGATACAATGATTTGGTAAATTTAAAGGAAGGTTTATTATAAGCTATACTTATTCTTAACAGATTGATATCCACATTAATCGATTGTCGATTCGCTACTATCGTATTAGTCTTACACTTATGACTTAAGTAGGAGACCGATATTTTACTCATTTATAAAATAATTGATTACACTATTCAATCATGAACGTAGCGATATCTAATTTATTCTTATATCTCGATATACCGAAGATATTTGTATTTTATTAATATTTTATACAATCGTTTAAACTTTAAAATATGATCGTTTCTTAAAAATAACTTCTTTAAAAGAACAAGAAAAATAATCATCATTGAATTATAGTAATTTTTTAAAGACAAAATTTGAAATAAAAAGACAAATTTCGAAACGAAATTTTTACGACCTCGTACATTGAGAATAAAAAAAGGATATGAGAAATCTTTTAGAGTTTGTATTCCTAAACATTTTAGCCTAACCTAATCTTAACCTTTAAAATTAAATGTGAAGTAAATAAATAATAATTTATATGTCATTACGTAAAAATAATAATTAAAAGCATTAAAAAAAATGCTAAATACGTGAATGACTCAGCGTATCACAACTGGTTGAGCTAAGCAATCTGGCTTTTTCCATTTTTTTACAATTAAAATTCCGTGATTATTGCTACTTACATTTATGGAATCTAAATTTACGGGGTTAGAGATACCTTTAACAGTTTTAAAATGACTAATGTACCAAAAAAGACCAATTATGATCGTTATAATTGTCACAATGTTCAAAGTACAGAATATGTAGAACGTTTCTATAACTACACTCCCACAAAATTTTATAAAAAATTACAGAGAAAAACATACGTCATAAGACTACATTTTAATGAATGGGGGCGATTCCGATATGATTATTGTTGATTGTTGAATTTATGTATATAACATATACAGTTTCAGAGTTTCGACCGTATGCACGTTAGATAGATTCTCCATTAGCCACATGATAACTAATTTAGGATAGGGTCTTAATTACAGTTATCTTTTATTAATTAATTCCCTTGATCTTTTTTTTATCCTGAATATCATATATTTGCAGAATCTTTGATACTACTCTATACGGGGTTTTTCGTATTTAATATGTGCTAGATTAGATATTCTATGCGCAAAATCAATTTGACAAACATTAATTAAATTATTCGTTTCAGAAGTTGACAATCACTTACGTTATTTAGGGATAATCCATGTGTACATGTGTTCATTTTTTGTATTTTGAAACAGGGTAATTTTAATTATAAAAAACAAAAAAAAAATTAGTATTTGTAAATAATTTTTATCATAATATTCTAATATTATGTTCGATAATGTTATTAATATTAATAGCAAATAATATGGGTACAAAAAAAAAATATGTAATTAAATTTTGATTAAAAGAAATTTTCTTTTTTTTTTTTCTTTGTTCTTTTTTTATTGTTATAATTCGAATCGTTAGTCTTAATTTCGAGTGAGAACATTTTTACACAATAGCTTTTATTAAGGTATAGTTTTATTATCTTTAATCGGTTTGTTGAAAAGCTCAACGCCGAGATCTGTGTAATAATTCTATTTATAACAAATGTATTCATTATAATTAATAGAACAATTTAAAATCTTCCTTTGTTATAAAAATTAAAGTAATTTAATCGATTCTATATAAAGAATTTCTTTTTTTTTTTTACTGGATCGGACAACGAATCGACTGTTTATTTTTTTGTCATTTACAATTACGAAATATAAAAAGAAAGAAATTTCTGATGGTTACACAAAATTGATTATTACAATAACATATATGCATATTTATCATTTAAGGTTAATTGTTTATAAAAACATCGCGTAGTAAACGATAAATCGTAAATTTTAAGAAAAAAAAAAAACAAAAGAAAATAATTATCAAATAATTTTAATTTTAAAAATTATTATTTTATTTATTTTAAAATATATATAGTAAAAAAAACAAAATCGTCTAAAATTCCAGACTATATATTATTTATTATACATTGGCGAAAAAAAAAAATAAAAAGTAAAAAAAATTTGATTATATCTAAATTCGCATTTATTATATTATAACACTTTGTAAATTACAAAAAGAAGAAAAGCCCAAAAATTAATTAAATTACTAATTTTTATTTAATCTTATCTAAAGAATTAAAATAAAACTAAATATACTAAAATAATAAAGAAAAAATTAATTGATATTTTGTAAATTCATTTATTTTTTAGACTTGCCAAAAAATTTTTTAGAAAATTTACAAATCTGTCTATTAAAAAAATGCACTATTAACTAAAATTTGGGCAGGTTATACCTTTTTTAGTTATTTACTTTCATTATTTTAAATGACATTAATTCTAATGCAGTCGTCTTGAGCACCTCTTTGAGCAACTGGCATAACGACGGGCTGATGAGAATTTGAAGAGTTCATCGTGCAAATACGATATTGACCTTTTTGAGGAAGTCCTTTTTCAACAAGTACACTCAATACACCATTAACAGCTGCATCATTTAACCCTTTGAAGAACGCAAACACTTGAGGATCGAGAAGATTATTTCCATTAAGTTTTTGAATTGTAATATGACTATGTCCTTGAATTACACCATTACCATCAAGAGTTTGTTGAATTTGATAATAATCTACAGCTGGATCAGAAAAGAATCCAGTAGCTAAATTTGAAATTTTTGTATCAACTTTGAATGCTGTATTTCGTTTAATTGCTTGGCCATTCCTTGGATTGACGATTAAAGCCGAGACCATCTTATCGACAGCGGGAATTTGACCAATCTCGAGACTGACACAACTAGGTTGCTTGAGTTGAGTACCATCAGCAGGAGTAAGTTTACTGGCTTTACAAAAATTACTTGGTGCTAAAGGTTTTATAGTGTCAACTGCATTTGCGACAGAAACAATAGCTAATAAAAGGGTAACAGCGAAAGTAAATTTCATTTTGTTGATTTAAAAAGGTGTTAAAAAAAGGAAAATGCGATTTAAATGTGTAATGAAGGAAAGAATTGCACTTTTTATCAAAAAAAAATGATAAATTCCACTTTTTATCAAAAAAAATGAATGTATTTTTTATTTTGGACCTAAAGGAACTGAAGAATTTTTTACAAAGGCAGAACAATTCTGGTGTTTATATAAGTAAAAATTCGTAAGTTATGTATAACAAACAAATGATTAATTGAGATAATTTTGCTATTGTGGTTACATCGTTTCAACTTTTTACCAAATTTTAATTAATACAAATACTTTGACCAACAAGGTAGGATAGATCGGCACAAAATTCGTCGTGTAACATCTTATTTAATTTACTACGAATCAAAATTTACTCTTTTAAGTTAATAGATGTAATCAAAGTAAAACTTCTAGTAACAAACATAGAAGTGCATTCATTTAACTCGTCGGGAAAAACAACGCAGTTTTAATAATAAGTTATCATTATTAATTATAAGAATTTATGCAAAAAAAAAGTTGAAAGAAATTTTTTTTTTTTTTTTCTTAAAACTGTCGCACGAAAAAAAATATATAAATGTTCTTTTTGTTTGGAATTGAGACTATCGATTCCATAAATTCGTGCTACCTTTAAATATAAATAATGTAAATAATGAGAAATATTAAAGATAAATTGGATTGCATTTTTGAATACTCCGTTGCATATTTTATTTATATTATCTGTTTATTAAGCAATAAAAAAATCATTAATTGTACCTTTTTTTTTTTTATTGAAGTTTATAACAGAAATAAATGGAAAAAAATTTTTTCATAATTTTTCCTTAAAAGATACATATTTATTGTCTTATGGTTTTAGAAACATTCTTTATTCCGTATTATTACGATTATTCCGGAAATTAGCGTGGGTACTAAAATATTTGTACGTGGCCTCATAAAATGTAGGGGAAATTTTCGCATGTTGTTTCGGTAATTGAATTCGATTTCAATTCTCTTTTATTGGTTATCATGAACTAATTAAAGATTAAAATTTCGAAAAAAATTACTGGTTCTTTTACAATACCTTTGGCAAAGAAATTCGGTAGACGTAGGAATAAGTTCTTGACAAAAAAAATATAAGAATACCTACGAAAATTTTTTTTTTTTGTTGTAATATTGACTTATGTCTTTGAGAAAATTATCTCTAATTGATAAGAGAGATTTTTTTTTTAATTGGTTATCATAATAATGAAATCGGTATCTTCATTATTTGTAATAATTGATCGGATGGTTTGTTTAGAGTATTAAAAATCGTGATAATTTTAAAAAAATTTTACTTTTATTCTCACATTTTCAAATAATTATTTTAATTATTTTAATCCTGTTATGATGTACCTTAACCTAAATTAAGTGGCTCAAACAAATTTTGATATCTACGATGAACTATGAAACATTTTTATAGCCGATTAAAACTTGTCATTGGATGTTTCTTTTTCATTATTAATATTATCCCTGCAAATATTTATATTGATAAAAAAAAATTAAAAATAGATATCCTGATGAAAGTAAGCATCTGACCCTGATCATGCACGTATGCGGACTTGCGGAGTTTTACAAATTATGCCGAAACTTAGCCAATATACAATCGAGGCTCTGCTTGTTGGAAATCTGCTTACAAACTTGAAACAACTCATTTTTGTGCTCAGCAAGGGATGGCCCGCTATTAAACCATTAAAATATTTTGTGTTAATGTACTTTGAACGTATCCATATTAAATTTCTAGATATTTTTCATATAAGATTCATGTTAAAAAATAATGTGATTATATGAATAGAATCTTAACATAATCGTTGAAGTTGCGTCATTTGATGTAAATATGCTGTGCCTCGGGTGACGATTTAAGATTTCGATCGAAATAAATGCATAAGATCTATTAGTTACCCTTGCATATATATATAAATGATGATCAGTCGATGATTCGATCTAAATGTCTGATCATTTTGTGGATCAATGATTTTGACTAACAGTAAATCCTTAATATAACAACTGTACATTACTTTTTCCTGCATAAAACCCTACGACAAATCTTGATTATCAATTCTATGTGCAATAGTATTCAAAATTTATTACGTGTCAAAAAAAAAAAGTTGGTGAATGATTCAAAACAGATTCGTTTCGAATTTTTCGATTATCTCGATTTAGTAAAATCGATTTCAATCAGGGTGCCTAATAATGCTGACTAACCTACTTAATGAGTTATAGAAATACACTGCTTTAGATAGAAAATTTCGAAAATTTAAATCAGCCATAATTGCCATATAGCTTAGGTTTGTATTTTACGGTAACAAAAATTTTCTTAAGGCGATTCCATAATTTATTAATATTAAATAAGCTTACAATCATAAATAACAAATTTTAGCTATGTAATTAGATTATCAGATTTAACTCTGCAAAACTAAAATATTAATCGCAAAGTTCACGTTTAAATTTGTCACATTACAGATGAAGGGATAACTTGCCGGACAAATTAAGCATGATAAGTATATAAGAATATTGTGCTCAGTTCAGTGCAAAAAAATTAAAATTTGGCCGCGCCTTTTTCCATGTGTTTTCTGGAGGCTTGAACTTTGAAGGAGTTTTCCGGACCTACATTTCCGGCCCTACCTTGGAGAATTTCATATAAACTCTGATCCTTTTTTACAAGAAAAACTGTCTTTTTTTAAAACATAACTTTATTAATAAGGTGTTCGCGCCCCGCAATACAACCTTGTACGCGTCAAGCACCGGACTCGAAATGTGTTAAATCTAAATACATCATAAAAAAACACACAATAACGTCATAAGATACATACAAAAAAAAAAGAGTAAAAAAAGCTAACTACATATTATAATGAGTAAATGGCCTATCCAATCTCCACCTCGCTCGATACTAAATGGCCGCTCCCCTCGTAGTAGAAAAAAATTTTACTTTAAAATCATAAATATATCATTATATATAATCATAAATTATTATTGATTATGAAAATCATCCATAATTCAAGTTTAATTCACATAATTTGTTACTCAACCCTGATAGAAAAATTTATAACAAAAGAAATTTTTAAAATAGAAAATTATATATCCAAATTATTTTAATAATTATTTTTATATCTATAGCATAATAAAATAACTACGTAATTAAGTAATAATACAGTAAATAATCCTTCGATCGGCCCGCTGAGAATGTATGCGTAATTTATCCATTTTTTTTCCTTGTTCCCTATAAAAAAAAAATTTTTTTATCACATATCTGAGCTTTAAACTAGAATATAATTTTTTTTCGGAATTTTTCTATAGAGATTTTTCTTGAATAACATTATCTGTAATACGTCATTTATTGTAATTTTTCAAATAATAATCTACTACGTCTGAAGTAAATTTCTTCATTTCTTCTTCCATACCATTAAATAACATTCCCGAACAATAAGCTTCCATCATTTCTCCTAAATTACAATTAACACCAGCTTTATTATAACTCAACATCATTTTATCTAATTCACAAACTTTTGCCACTTCTGATAAAAATTTTCTTGTAACTAATACACCAGTAATTTTTACAAATTCCTTCCTAGTTGCATCTGGAAGTTTTAATTTTAATGCTCTTACTGCATAATAATTATATGCTTTGTCCCCATAAAAACGATAGAATCTATGACTATTACCAGGAACTGTAAAAATTGAGGCAAGAAGTTTTTCATCATTAATTTTTGGGAGAGTGATTGTTTTGGTGGAATCAGAAATTGAAAAAAGAAATCTCGGAAGATGTAATGGAAGTTGATTTTGTTTATATATTGACGAGACAAAAGCAATAGATTTTAGATTTTTTAAATTCTGTAAATTCTGTTGAAATCGTAACATGTCTTCGAAAATAATAAGTATATATCAAAATTGTTATAATTTAAATATTTATATTATGAGAAAGAAATAAACCAAAAATGTTTTATTTAAAGGTAAAAAAAAAAAAAAAAAGTACGCATTAAATAACAAACTTCTCCGGATACTAAGGACCAAAATTTATCGGTAAATTACCTAAATTACCATTACCGCAGCTGTGGTCACACGTGATACCATTTCGTAATACTATAGACGATTGTGGCTATGAAATATTTTCATGTGAAAACAATGGTTTTACTAATACTGTAAAATATTAAACTTAGATTATAAGAATTATTTGAAAGTAAATTACCATAGAAAATGGAAATAGAGAATACTGTATAGCAAAAAATAGATCATTGTAAATAGAGCTTTTCAATACATAAATTATGAGAATTACTAATAAGATTTAAAGGTTTTACCCGCTGCCATTCCCTAAATGTCAATAATTTTAGAAATAGTGACGTTTAATTATGATAATTTCAATAATACAATTTTTACTATAAAAAATTTAATATCTTAGTTTATAAACCAAAAACAAAAAAAAAAGTTCGGCTTTCAATACCATAATAGATTATGAAAGTTTTAATGAGATTTAAGATTTTACCTGTTGCTATCCCCTAAATGTCAATAATTTTAGAGGTAATGACGTTTAATTATGGTAATTTAAATTAAAGCATGAACTTGAACGTGATTTTTGACAATTTTATCATGAAATTTTATATCTGAAAAGCCAATATCAGGTTATAAATGAAAACAAAAATAATTCTAGCAAAATAATATTATTTATTAATCGTTTATTTATTACTGCATTATTATCATTCGATTTGTGTTTCCACGTTGGATTTCTAAAATTTTCCGAAACGCATTTATTCGTAATATCGTTATGTGCCTTCCTGTCTTCTCGATGCTGTTCCTATTACATATATACGTAAATACCATAATTTATATAAGAAAATTATTCGTTAATCCCGGTAAAAAAAAATTGCATTGATTTTTGCTGGCTTCAACAGATCGTTCCTATTTTATATCCAATATTTCAAAGGGTCGTATTATTCGATAATATACTTACCGTCCTATAATTGTTCTATTTTATTACCTTATTACGAATTTGATTGGCTGAATAAGCCATGGTAAAGATACTGTATATAGCCGTAACGGGAAAAGCAGCCTCTGATTTGTGCCTCAGATACGAATAGCGGAATAGGGGGATATAAAGTATTTGATGTGTAAGTTTCTTGATGAATGAACTTAAATGATATTTATGTCTTAATAATTGTAATAGAAAAGGTTATCATATTATGAGAAGACAATACATGTAATTTTTTTTGATCTATTTCGAAATAATTAATTAATATCTAAAATTTGGGTCACATATTGTATACATAGATCCTTTACGTACAAAATATAGTTGGAGATAGAGAGTATTCACATACTTTTGACAATGAGAAAAACTAATAATCAAATATTCTAAGATACCGAAAAAATAAATTTATACATTATTTGCTGGCCCACCATTACATATACAATCAAAGAATCTAATTTTTTGTTTGTGAAAATTAGTTAAATAATAAAATTTAACCTCTGTTTTTAGTTACGGCCATACACAGTGAAAAGCACCGGAACCCGTCCGATCTCCGAAGTTAAGCCACTGATGGCCCAGTCAGTACTACGGTTGGGGACAACGTGGGAATACTGGGTGCTGTAACTTTTTTTTTTCCTACTTTTTAACTCCGAAAATATAGAAATATATTAAATTTCATCATGCATCAGGTATGTAATAAATTAGTATAATGATTAATTTTATTAATGACTGAAATAATATTCTTGCATTATATTACATTTTTAACCAATTGAATATAACTTATATTTAATATCCCTTTTAATAAAATTAATTTTATGCGAATTCAAAAAAAAACCCATTAATTACATATTACACCAATAATAATATTATATTAACTGCAAATATAATATTTATTATATTTTATTTATTTTAAAAAATGAAAATTATAAGACATACCATGGAACTTAACATATAGTTATATGATTTATGTATTTTTTATTTGTTACTTTAACTTTTTATTTTATATTATTAGTAAATTAGTATATAATACTATTAATACAGTAATTATATTTCACTTTACAGTATTTAATTCTACAGCATATACTTTATATTGATATATTTTTTTATTTTACAATAATTACATTCCACTTCTGTTATTCGTACCCCTCTGCAATAAAATCGTCATGTGATTGAGCATTTATTGTTTAATAAATTTATTGTGCCATTTGGAAAAAAAAATATTTTAGCAAAATGAAAAATTAATTTATATTAATGGAATCAAACATTGATTTTTATTTTGTAAATGGTTACATTTTTATAAGTGAATGCATCATTATTCTTTAAAAAAACAGGATATTATTCACTTTAATTTCTATTTAGTTGATAAGAACAAGAATTATGTCCAGGTTGATGGCAAACAGTACTCTTTGATCCATCAACTCAAATCCGAAAGGATCTCTCTTGGTTGAATTAAAAAAGAACAGTCAATTAGTTTTATGCCTTTATATTTTTTGTGTGTTTATTTAGTAAGATCCAAAGAGTTATATAAATACCATCTTGATCACAATATAAGATAATGTTTTCTTTTTTACTAATGCATAACCTTGAGAATTTGCAAATGTTTGAGCATTATGAAATAGTTCATTTGCACTATTGTATATAGCAGGAGGTGGTAAAAGCATCTTATATTTAAAAATAACAATTTTTTTTAAAAAAAATTGTTAAAACAAAGCATAATAAAATGTAAAAAAAATCCAGATTTATTGTGACTTGGTCTTAAAATAATTTATAAATCATTATTTCATATATTTTTTCTGAATAGTGCAGTAAAATTTATTAAACAATAAATATTCAATCACATGATAATTTTATTACAAGAGGATACGAATAATAATAGTAAAGGGTATGAATAACTATTGCTAAAAAAAATAATGCTAATTAAATCTTTTTTTTTAACTATTTTTAAGGGTGTTAAGCAATTTTAATTAGTATAGTAGTGGTTACCTATAAACCACACTAATATTATATGACTTCAAATTTTTATAAATTATAAATTAAATAGTAAAAAGAAAAAACTAAACTGATAAAATAATAGAGCAATATGTAGTAAACATTTCTATCAGATTATTTTATAGAATTTAATAAGAATTTTAATTAATATTATGGTTGAATAATTTTAATAAGTAGCAATAATAAAAACATTAAATTTCAGACTAGTTTTTATATAATTTTTATGGATTTTACAAAAATTCCATGGAAATTTACAAGAATTCCATGTAATATAGCAAAAAAAAATTTTGCCGCTTATGTAGCAATTATTATATTTTAACAATTACATAATATAAATAAATAAAATTTTAAATTTTGAACTTTGTTATATATAGATGACTATCACCATATAACTTATTTAATTTAGACTATAGTTTTTGAAAAAATGCATATTATAGCATTAAGTATTAATAGTATAATTTAGTAAAATTAGAAATTTTAATCAGTTTAAATAAATCTGATTAATTCCAAAAAAATTGCTAAGTTTTAAAATGATTTTTTTAAAAATATTATCAGTAAAATTTTATTTCAAGCTATTTTTAGAATAGGTTACTTATTGGCAATAAAAAATAAAATATTAATTGAAATTAAAAATGCTTAAATTTGAATCAATTCTATAGTTAATCTTAATATAGATCATAATTAGTTTTAAGCAAATTGCCAGTTTTTGAAATAATTTTTTTAAAAAATATTATTAAGACTGTATTTTTCTACTTATTAAAGTTAAATAATTATATTTTTCTAGAATTAGCAATTTGAAGAATCATATTGGATTGATTTTGAATCAATTAATTAGTTCTAATAAGACTAAGATCGATTAATATTTTTAAGTAAATTCATTAAAAAAAACTAGTAATAATTTGATTAATAAAAGTATTTATTTAAATATATATTATAGTTAATTCTTTATAAATAAATATATTTCTTTTAGAATTAAATATAAAGGTATACTTAGTTATTTACCTGTAAAAAAAATCTGATTTATTTTTATATTTTATCTTTTTTTATAAAAGGCTTATACTAGTAAAAAAAATAATCTATTCTACACATATCTTACACATATCAGGTACTCAAAATGTAGAAAATCTTATACAAATAATACACATATCATATATACATTGAGTACTTATATACAGTGGCTTTCAAAAGTAATTGACCAAAATTTAAAAAATGCGAAATCACGTGTTTGTCGATCAAAACAAATCCATTAATCTAATATTTTCATAAATAAACAATACAAATGTAGATCTTTAAAATAGTATAAAATAACCCTTGCTTGTACTACATCATTTAGTGATATGTCATCATTTTACCTCAAACTATGGTCAGTAATTTTTGTCACTTCGAGAAGAAAAAAATTTATTTAGAAAAAAGGCATTTTTTATTTATAATTAATAATAAACATTAATAAAAAATACTAGTATACTTACACAATTTTGAACTTATACCTTTTTTTTCTTTTATATTTGAAGACCAAATTTACTACGAAACAAAGAGCACAGGCAATTTTGATGATTGAAAGAGGTTTTGCCTCAAGAGAGATTGCTGCTAAAATTGGTTGTAAAAGTCACGTAACAATTCTAAATTTTTAAAAAAAATATGAAGAAACCAGTAAAGTTGAAGATAAGCAACATTTAGGTCGGCCACGCAAGTTAAATGAGCGTAATGAACGTACTATTATAAGGCGCTTAATGACAAATGAATGTTCAAATGCTGTTCAATTAAAAAAATCCTTACAAATTAATGATGAGATCAATGTCAGCTCTAATACCGTACGAAGAGCATTGAAAAGAAATGGTTTATCGGCTAGAATTAAACGCAAGAAGCCACTTTTATCCAAAAACATCATGAAAATCGGCTTAAATTTGCTAAGAGATTTAAAAACTGGACAGTAAGTGATTGGAATAGAGTAGTGTGGTCTGACGAATCTAAATTTCAAATTTTTGGCTCAGACGGACGTAAATATTGTTGGAAAGACAAGGAGAAACACTTAAAGACGCTCATATCAAACCTACTGTAAAGTTTGGTGGTGATAGTGTTTTTGTATGGGGTTGTTTTACTTCAAGTGATGTTGGTTTTTTGTGTAAAATTGATGGAGGACTGGATGTGAAGCTTTATCGTCAAATATTAAGTGAGGACTTTATGGAGACTTTGCGGTACTATGATTTAAGTGTTTCAGACATTATCTTTCAACAGGATAACGATCTAAAATACACTGCTTTACTTACCAAACAGTGGTTTGAGAACAATAATGTTGAAGTCTTGCCGTGACCACCACAATCTCTGGATCTAAATCCGATATAACATCTCTGAAACGATATTGACCGACGACTCAGGGCGTTAAATGTTACAATTAGAGGAAAAGATGCTTTATGGGAGCATGTTTCTCAGATTTGGAATGAAATAACATTAGAGACATGTATCAAATTGATAAAGTCAATGCTGGCAAGAATACAAGATGTTATTAATGCTAAGGGTCGTTATACGCGTTGGTAAATAATGTTTTTTATAATTTTTAACATATTTTTTAAATTTTTTTTTTTAAATTTATTATATAAAGTGAATATGACAAAAATCACTGACCATAGTTTTAATAAATATTGCGTAATTAAAACAAAATGGGTTTATTAAGTATTACTAAAATTAATACATTATGATGATCTTGGAGTATATTAAGGTTGCCTGCCGAAACCTATTTGGCCTAATGCTGAAAGGAGAAACTCCACATATAGTGCCGTAACTGCGAAACTGCGAAACTGCGAAACTGCGAAACTGCCGAAACTTGCAAAACTGCCAAAATTTGCGAAACCTTTATAACAAGTTTATCTGTAGTTTCGGCATAATAAATAATAATATTTTATATGAATTTTGGCATAATTACAGCATTCCTAATATTTTGTTTTTAATTTCAGTTTCTAATAAATTTACATGTAAATAAACAACGTTTTAATATTCTAATAATAATATTATTATTGAAAAATCCTAACAAATGCAACAGTCATAATTTTTTTTCTGGGAATTCTACATAAAAAAAAAATAAATTAATTAAATTTATCAAAAAAAAAAAAAA